CCTGATCGCGCCCGAGCCCGAGCCCGGGCCCGACCGAGCCCGAGCCCGACCGAGCCCGAGCCTAACCGAGCCCGAGCCCGACCGAGCCCGAGCCGACCGAGCCTGAGTAGCTCGGTTTGGGCTCGGGCTCGGTACATGCCTAGGATAGCATTCGCGTTTAATACTTTGTATCCAAAAAATTCAAATCTTTTTATACCTTTCTAAACTCTCGAGTATGTTCTAAGGAAAAAAGAATGATGTTGTCTGAAAATTTTACACTTCAAAAATATAAATTATCTCGACTTACATATAACATAGTAAAGCTAACAATAATTACAAGAAATTGGGTGTGGGTATTGATCTCTTGTTTATCCACACCCGAAGAGTTGCTGCGAAGCCAGATGTAAGTCATACCTATATAATGGTGTCAAACGACGAAAGGACACACTTTTAACATATATCAACACTTTTGGCTTTGTCTTTACAGAGAACATATAAAATAATTCTACATTTTCACGAAATTCACTGAAATCAATACTACGCATATTGAATTTCACCGATACTGGCTTTCACTTAGAAAATATTTCACAATATGAAGATTTATTTGCGGAATAAGATCTTCGTCTGCTCTGAAACATAATTTCAAGAGGTTTACAGAGATTTTGTCGTTATTTTTTTAATTTTCTTTGTTTTCATTCATTCGTTTGAAGCAAAGGCAAATAAAGAGAGTAATAGCATAAACCGATTACATCCAGTAACGACTTTTCCTTCTTTCAAGCTTGCAGAGTATTCCTCAAAGTTAACCATACATCTCTTACACATTCGGTACATAACCGGGCAACGATGCTGAATATCCATAGATGCAACTATATTCTAAAAGTTGAGAAATTTGAGTTGTTTTGGTGCATTATTCTATACCGTGTCGTATAGAAGTCATTATCCTAATAATAATACATCAAACAACTCAAACTCATCAACTTTTAGAATATGTAGTTCTTTCAGGAGCAAGAAGTTGATTACTAATTGAAGTAATACGTATAATCTAGAAGTGCATGCACCTTACTTGAATGCTTCATGGATATTATGACGTTAAACTCTCGATGCCCAGTGTAATGGAATTATGACATCTATGAGTAAAGAATTCGAAAACGTTTAAGTCAGAAATTCATTTGAATGCGTCCCGAGCTCTTAGATCTTTCCGGTTTCGTGAGTGAATAAGTATTCTCCGTTGACATTATTAATTCTTGTTTTTCACTCTGAATGCACAAACTAATAAGTTTTTTTTCTATTTCCTTAATATGAAATTGCTTAGCATTTTATTTTTAGACTTATCATCCTCTGAGCAAAGCTATAAAAGTATTTCTCGTTTAGTTTTACCCCATTAATATTCTGTTTTGATTTTCTTTCTATATTATCCATTTATGCAAAATAGGTAAACATATTGATAAAAAGCAAATATTTCTTTTTTTATTATTATTTTTCTTTAATTGTTGTCACCTTTTTTTGTAGGATTTTTTCTGAGGAGCATACATCTGAGCCTAAAACAAAAAAAGACTTGAATACTATAGAGTAATCAATTGATCTCGGCAGCATAAATTAAGGAGTCAGAATCACAGGTAAACTGTTGAATAGCAACAGGGCATTTATGGTCGTAAATACACAGTGTGCTAGTCGTTTATGTCATAAACAACGCCGTAACGTCTTCCACTTCGATCAATCTGTGTCTGTTTAACACTTGTGGTATGACTATGAACTGTTGAGAAACGAATACTACATGTTTTTTGTTGATAAAATACATAGAATTAGTATTTTTTTGCAGGATGGACACTAAGTGGAAGTATGAGTTATGATCGATATCATCACACGGAGTCTTTGTTAGCAAATGAAAAAGTGTTGGTTGTTGGTGGATATACTTCCTCTTTTGGTTCCTTAAGTACTGCTGAGTTGTATGATCCAGCAACATGGATGTGGACACTAACTGGGAGTATGAGTTATGCTCGATACATTCACACAGCATCAATGTTAACAAGTGGCAAATTATTAGTCACGAGTGGATATTCTACCACTAGCGGTTATTTAAATAGTGCTGAGTTGTATGATCCATCAACAGGTGTGTGGACACTCACTGGTAGTATGAGTTATGCTCGATACATTCACACAGCATCTGTGTTAACAAATGGAAAAGTTTTAGTGACTGGTGGATATAATGGAGGTGGTCTACGAACTACTGAGTTGTATGATCCATCGACAGGAATGTGGGCACTCACTGGAAGTATGAGTTATGATCGATATTATCACGTGGCTTCTGTGTTAACAAATGGAAAAGTACTAGTTGCCGGTGGATACTCTAGCACTTATGGTATTTTAAATATTGCTGAGTTGTACGATCCATCAACAGGTGTGTGGACACTTACTGGTAGTATGAGTTATGCTCGATATGTTCATACAGCATCTCTGTTAACAAATGGACAAGTTTTAGTCGCTGGTGGATATAATGGAGGTGATCTGCAGACTGCTGAGTCGTATAATTCATCGACAGGAATGTGGACACTCACTGGGAGTATGAGTTATGGTCGATATTATCACACATCATCCTTATTAACTAATGGCAAAGTATTAGTCGCTGCTGGATATGATGACACAATTGGTGTTCTAAATAGTGCTGAATTGTATGATTTATCAACAGGTGCATGGACAATCACCACTAGCCTGAGTTATGCTCGACATGCTTACTCAGTATGCGTGTTAAAGAATGGAAAAGTATTAGCTGTAGGTGGAGTTGGAATTAGCTCTTCAGAACTGTATCAACCATAACAAATAAGTCCAGAATGAAAATTATTTACAGGAATAAACTTGTCTGTGAGAACCATTTAGCAAGAGAATTATTGTAGTTGACTAATGATTATACTTTGATCTTCTTCTCAATAACGAATGACTTACATCTTAGTATCATTCTTCCTCATCATAATAAACTGTATTTAATTTGTTGTTCTTCAAAAACACTTTATTGCTAGAGAAACTTCATATGTGATGGAAAATCCCCATACAAAAGTATCATTTCGAAACGAAGCCAATGAATTTAGTTAAAATAAATTGAATTCCAAGGTTTACCCTGTTCATGTAAGTGTGGACATTTCAATATACATTCTGACCCTTACAAATAGCCTGATTTACATATCAGCAATTGCTTATCAAATTATTAATAAAATAATTGATAATGACTTGATGTATTCTGCGGATTTTAGTGGATCTAAAAAAAGATAAATATCAATAATATTCACAAATAAATATTGTTGTTGTGATTCCAGTTAGAGATAAAACTTTTGGAACATTAAACACTATGTTAAAATATAGTGCCGACTTTTGTTACTTAATTCAACTTGGTTGGATGTAGCTGTGGGTGTATTCCTTAAACTTAAATCAACACCCACACCCACACCCTGTATGATAATGTTTTTTTTCCATATACTCATTTATATTAAAATATATAGACTTCAAACTTTGTAGTTATGTAGTACTACATAGGTATACTAACCTCTGAAAGTTTCGAAGAATTTGCTTTTATTATGTGTCAAAGCAATAAATTTTAAAGTATCGTCAGAACTTCTGGAACACCCTTTACATGATATATTCACAGAGTTTTTTTTAGGAATATAAATAATTTTCAATAGTCTCAATGTATCTCAACTAGTGATTCGAAGAAAGATAAAACAAAATTCAATAAACTATTTCAAGAATATAAAAGACATTAACACAGTACATATTTAATAAAAGGAAAAATAGATTTTCAGACGAGTTTCACACCAGAACTAACGTTTTCTCTTAGAAGTTAAATCTAAACTTTTCCAGTAGATATCCAGTCTCAGACAATCAACAATAGAGTCTGAAATAAGATAAATGTCATAGTTAAGAACTCTTTACTGTGTGACCAAAAAACTATCTATAGAAAATGTCTTATTCATGAATATTAGAAAATAGGAAATTATATTTGTAAAGTATAGTATTATTTAAAAAAGCCATTGTTCGGCGAAGCTTTTCTCCTTTTTGAACAGGTAGATTTAAACTTCAACAGGATAACAGTATCGAGATAGAAGCTCGATAACTGTCAAAACGATCCCTAAAAATCTTAGAGCAATTATTATTGTCAGAATCTGTACGCTGTCTCCAAAACAAATATTTTGCATGCACAATGAACATGAAAATATTGCATTTACTATTAGAAAATACAAGCAATATTAAACATATATAAATTACTTTTATGAATCCATAGTATTAAGCTTGCCGTTATTAATTTTCGAAATGTTGTGAAGTGTTTAAATGTTTAACAGGTGATCCAAAACATTGGTGTAATTCAATGATTACGAAAAATTTTGAATTAAATGAGTCTTTCTCCAAAGTTAAAACTACATAATGAATACCAATTATAAAAGTTCTTTTAACATTTTGCAAATTCTTTGATCTTTATAAGCATTTATCGTCTTACTATACGCAAGCTTTTAGACAAATCTTTATCTTCAATCGGTTGTAATAAAAAATTTCTTACATCGTAATGGTCTCTTTTTTAAAAGTTCATGATATTATTTACATTGACTGCCATAGTAGCAGCAGTGATCATACTTGCAATTGTTAAGCTTTTTCCATAAAAAAAAACGACAAGGTGTACCATCAAGTAAGATCTTCTTTATTAGTTTATGAATATTAAAATTTATCAAATTGTCTGATGAAACAGCAACAAAAAGAAGTTCTTCTATCAAATCAACCACACGAAACGGTAACTATAAAGCTTATGAAAATTAAACACTACAGAATTTTCAATCTTTTAAACATTTTTATGTTTTGAAAATATGCATGTTAATTTTGTTTCATAGGAAAAATGTTATACTTTTCGAATTGACTTCTTTTTCTTATTCAAAGAATTCTTCAATCTTTTTTTTTGAAAAAAATGCAAATATGAGCAGTGATCATTAATATTCGGAGTTTTTATACGATCGAAAGATAAAAGAAATTCTTTTATCGAAAAAAATAATACTCATTTAAATGTCGCTATGAATGATTCTCTATATAAGATAAGATAACCATACATGATATTTACTTCAACGTCTCTCGCTCTAACTTTACTATATTCTTTCGAAATCGAAAAAGTAATAAAAAATAATTTAAAACAATATTGCATTGTGATAATCAAAATAATAATCACCAGCAAACATGCTGATTAAGTAAGGATTGTGTAAGTAGAATGTATATGTACTCAGAAGAAAATATGTCCGTTTAGAACATAGATCAGTTTCAATGTGAAATGAAAGAGAACAATGTCGAGTTAACTTCTTAATATCTTTTCTTTGGCATTTTTTTCATCTTTTTTACCCAACTATTTTTTCATGTTCTAGTACGATTGTGCATTTTATTCCGTACTATTTGATCATTTTTCTATACTATAGGTGGTTCAATAAGTACTACAAGGATAACGACTGTTAGTTCAGCAGACATAGGTAATGTTCTACTTCAAAATCAAGTCACTTTATCAATCATTTTTACACTAGAAGAATTAATTATTTAATGATTTGATTTTGTATAGAAAAGGGTGCTAGAAGATATTTGATGTCACATATGTCTTTCAATGAGTTTGCTATAACCAGATGGATTTTCTTCCTTTTATTGCAAATTAATCATATGTATAATTTTCAAACTGTTCGCAGCTATTATTGAATCGCCTTTTCTTGCTTATACGAATGATATTTTTATCGATACTCATAATTTTATGAGATATTTCAATTTGTCAGTCATACACTTTTGAAGTATCATTAAGACTAAAAATCAACGAGTCGAAAACTTTTAGAACCATAAATATAATATTTTCATTTTTCGAAGTTAGCATATGTTTATTCTTTTCTACTACAATGTAATAAAAACTATCAACAATAAAAGATTAAAACACTCAAAACTTTGACATAATTATGAATCGTTTTTCTCGCTCTATTAATAGACACTTTTGTATTGATACAATTAGACTATTCGTCTGCCTTAACTTCTTCTAATGCAAAATATTGTCCCACAGGCTGTACAGGTGCCAACAATTATCATGAAGCAATTCAATTTAATGTTTCTATAAATGGAAATTATACTGTTCCATCCTATAACAGTGATATGTTCACAGTTGGTTACTTATACTATAATAGTTTCAATCCTGATTATCCATTTTTGAATCGCTTGGACTCGGGTGATAGAAACGCTGACCAGGCACAATTCATATTCTCAATATTATTTGACACTACAAAAGAATGCATCTTAGTTGTAACAACATTTCAGGCACGTACAACAGGATCATTTTCAATTATGGCAACTGATCCAGCATTGATTCGATTTTTTCAAATAAGTAAGTCAAGTAAAAGCTCAATGCAATTTAGAGGAATTTCCTTAATAAAATATATAATCATGGAACACTTAATTTCTACGGCTATATAGAGATGATTGAAAATATGTGTCAGTCAAAATTGACTCTTAAATTTAAGCGTTTTAAATTTTAATATTCAATATTAGGAAAACGAATTTTATCATTCTTCAGTGATAACGTTGTCAAACAAGTCTGCATATTTTCCTGATTTGAAAATACAGTTTGAAAAATCGATTAGTTTGAAAATTATATTTAAATCACTTCACACAACTCTCGAATACGAATTTCATTATTGATTTTTTATCGAGAATCGCATTGATCCAGGGAGATGTAGAGTTTGCTAGTTTTTACAAGCAAAAATTGTTTATATCAGAGAACGATATAGGATTCCGTAATTTTTTGAGTGAGGTTCACTATATCTGATGTGAGCTTAATATGTAGTGTTTAGTATCTCTCGATGGCGTACTTTCGCAGACCGAACGAGCCGGTCGAATTGTTCATACGAAGAAGTGTATTGTTGTACTGTGATATTTGTGAAAAGTTTGGTTTCTCAATATAAAATAAATGTTTTTTTGGTTATCTTTTGTTAATATTACTTTTTCTACGTTAGAAAGGTTTTCTCAGTATCTTTTATCGTCTTTTTTTTTTGACGAGAATGCTTAGAAGAAAAATTATAGAACGAGGCCATAGATTGTTTCTTTGTTTGTTTCAATTGACACTTTCGTGATTACTCTTCACGATTATTGAAACATAAAAATCAGATTAAAAAAGTTGTGTTGTTTTTGAAAAAAAGAGTAGATATTAATTCTTTGATGATAGATCTGTAATTTTGTTAAAAATTTGATAAATTGCTTGAGATCTGTAAATTAATCTCTTGGATGAATTATGTTTGGCAGATAATAAAATATGATATAGGTTATAAAAGAGAAATGAATATTAGTTCAATTTAGAATGGAATTACTTCTTTTATTGAACGTATGTCCATTATTTGTTTTCAAATTACTGAAATAATTTTAAGTTTTGAATTTAAAGCTAACAAGTCAATCAGATAATTTTGAGGATATGAAGAGAAATACAATAATAAAGTATGAATTAATTTATATTTAGCTTATAACTAAGGGAAATTCTTTACTCCATCACATTTACTTTAATATGACATCGTCATTAATAGTTAAGATATTTCTTTTTTATATCAGAGATAGAGATCTGTTATTTTATTTTGTTTCTTATAATAAAAAAGAATCATAATTTAATGTATCTTTATTATTGAAAACGTATTACTGGATGATATTCGTTAAACTTTATTTTTGACTCAAATTAAAGGCTAATGATCCGAAGAATATTTCCTCTAAATGTATTATCTAAAAAGATTATTTGTTAAAGATTAAATCCTTCAAAGAATTCTTTTCTATGCTTTACTATTTGTTCAAAATCATGGTTAGACTTATGTATAGCTGAGTTTGAATTTAAGTCCTAGAATATTCTCTTAGTTCAATTAATGGACAATGCTTGTGAAGATCAATGCAAACAAAATTGTTCAGTTTGATAGAATTGTATTATACTGTGTTTATGCAACGAAAGAGAGGAAAACTATTTTGCAAACGACTTTTTAAACTGATTATAGATAAAAAATGATTTCTTCCATTTTTCATAAAATTTGGTTAATATATTTTGGCTCGACCAAGAAAACAAAAAAAATGAGAAGAAGTAGGAAAAAACATTCAAACGTTTTTTAATTGATTATAGAATACGTCTAATTGTTTAACATACTTGATATTGTTTCTAGAAAATATCATTATATTAACTTCAGAGAGGACATAAAAAGAGATTTCTTTCATTTCTTTTAGAAAACTGATTTTGCTAAATAACCATATTGTATTCTGTCTTAGGAAATATAAGAACAAAGAAGATATGGTAACTAGATTCAACTTCTATCTCATCCGAACAAGGGAAGATTAAGTAAGCATAGAAGCATAAAAGAGGAAAAATTATGCTTCAGCATCATTGTATTGATTGATTATAGAATACTTCGAAATTTTTATTGCATCTGATGTTGAGAAAAAAATTGCTAACGATAACGTTAAAAAGTTTAATAACTTTAAAAAAAAAATCAACGGAGATCTCAACAGAAAATGATGTATCTATCAATTATATAGTATTTATTTATTTAATTATTTTATAAAAACATGTCAAAATGAAAATTATGTAAGAAAGAATTTTCAATGGTCGATACTGCGATCAATGGAAACTCTATGTGAAGTACTAAGTTCATCAATTATTTCGATATAAATTTTCAAAACTTTGTATGGCGAAAAAAAACATTCATTAACCGTTACCAAATAATATTTTTATTTGTCTATTTAGTTTATAATTAGCACGTTTCTAGACGAGCATTTAAAACAAAAATATCCACAAAGTAGTAATGTTATGCTAGATTATTCACCGAATAAAACTAAGATAAATTATTTTTCAAACTTGATGAACTTATTTAATTTAAAATAAGATCACTAGAAGTGAAGCGAAATTATGTTAGTAGTTTTGTGCCTTTTGATAACAATTCTGGCCTTCCTGCGACATGTACATAGAAACAAATGTATTCGTTCAAAATATAGATCAGTTTCAATACAAAATAAAAGAGACCAACCTTGAGTGAACATCTTAATAGCTGTTCTTTGAGATTTTTTTCTCATCCTTTTTTAGCCCACTACTTTTTCATATTCTAGCACGATTTTGCATTTCATTTTGTACTATTTGATCATTTTCCTACATTATAGGTGATTCAACAAGTACTATACGCACAACAACCACTACTTCATTAAGGACAAGTAATGTTTTACTTCAAAATCTAGTCACTCATATATACACTTATTGATTATTAATCATCTTTGTACTAAAAGAATTAATTATTTAATGATTCAATTTTGTATAGAAAAAGGTACTAGAAGATGTTTTATGTCACATATATCTTTCAATGAGTTAGCTGCACCCAGTCTCATTTTCTTCCTTCAAAAACATCATTTAATAGAAGATTTCAGTTTTTACTCATATATATTGTAAAGCATTTGATCGACTCTGAAACTCATCAAAAGAAAGAAAATGTCGCTTTGAAATTTCATTGTTCGAATTTCTTTTATAAACTTGGCATACGAGAGTAAAAGTTAATTAAATGACCATAAAGTTGTATACAAGTTTCACCGGCCAATAATACTCAGTAGTTTTAGATAATCTTAAAATACAATGTTATATTCCCCGATGCAAACTAATCATATGTGTAACTTGCTAACTATTCACAGCTGTTTTCGAATCGTTTTTTTTACTTATACAGTTAATATTTTTATCGATACTCATAATTTTGCGAGACATTTCAATCTATCAGTCATACAATGTTGAAGAATCATTGAGACTAAAAATCAACGAGTCGAAAACTTTTAGAACCATAAATACTACAATGCAGTAAAAACTATCAACAATAAAAGATTAAAACACTCAAAACTTCGACATAATTATGAATCGTTTTTCCCGTTCTTTTAATAGACAGTTTAGTATTGATACAATCATACTACTCGTCTGCCTTGACTTCTTCTAGTCCAAGGTTCCGCCCTATATACTGTACAATGGCAAACTATTATTATGAAGCTATTCAATTTAATGTTTCTATAAATGGAACTTATACTATTGAATCCCATACTAGTGATATGGACATCATTGATTCCTTATACATCAATAGTTTTGATCCTGAATCTCCATTTATGAGTGTCTTAGAATCGAATGATGGTGGCGATACCGAGAGACAATTCGTGTTCTCAACAGTTTTGGAGACTACATCACAATACGTTTTAGTTGTAATAACATTCGAGGCACTTATAACAGGACCATTTTCAATTATTGCAACTGGTCCAGCATTGAGTCGATTTCCTCAAGAAAATAAATAATCATGCAACAATGAACTTCTATGGGTATAAAGATGATTGAAAGTATTGTCGTCATTTCAGTTTGATAATTGTCAATAGGAATGTCCCGATCGGTTGGCTAACGGTTACCCTAATGGTATGAATTTTGTTTTAAAAAACTATACAGAAAGTTCTTTAAGACGCTGAAAATAAAAAAATTGAAAAATTAGAAAAACTAGGATCACGGATGTCTCGGATTTCCTCAAATTAGGAAAAATTTTTGTGGTTTTTTTACGCAGAAACTTGATGAAATTTATGTCGTCATTTATCAAAAGTCTTATATAATTGTCAATAGATATACCATTACGAAAAAAACTCTTGCTTTAAGATGTGATAAAAATTTTACTATGCTTGGGACACATCCCGGATTTTTAAGACTTAATTACTGTTAATGTCTATTGAAAAGAACATCTCATCTCTTGTGTGTTCTTATTCAATGATCAAAATATAACTGCTTAAGGAAAACCGTTCTTAATGTAATCTCAAAAGTCGAACTTTTATAAAGAGTAGGAACTTTCTTTCCATATTGGATGTAATACATTAAAATTTGTATATTAAACATAAGTTTTGCCTCTTGTCGCTTAATTTATTAAAGTCAATAGAGTAAATAAATCAATGCGAATACTGATCTTTGAGAGAGTATGAAGAGGTATTCGAAATTATGCTTTTCAAAACTGTTTTCTATTTAAGTTATCCAGATTTGATTATTCAGTTGTCGAATATTCGTTACAATTGTATATTTTGTGACTATACTTAGGAATTTGATGTAGAGTATTGCATATTCCAGAAGAACCTAGCTTGTACTTCGATATTGATGCCATCATTAGTGTCTATAACAGAATACTTAGGTGAAAGGATTCTTTAAATGAATATTACTTGTTTATGATTTTCATCAAGATAGTTCAAAAGATGTAATATAATTATTTATTCTCAATTTTCTCTAGATTCTTGTAGAAACTGAGTAATCTTTGTGAAATACGATCTAGAAGTGTGTGATGTATACAATTGAAAAATCAAATTTTGCACAACAGAAACTAGAAGTCAAATTAACTTTTAAAGAGTTTTTATGATGAAATTTTTAGGAAATCCTTTAGATAGAAAGTAGATATTTATTTTGAGAGTGTTTGGTGGACTAACACTTTAGATAGAACAGAGTTCTGTTATGCATGTACCTATGCAAAAAAACAGCAATTCAACCAAAATAATTTTAACGCATTCCTCGCTTCAACTTTTTCACTTCACAATTAAATCGTAGTTAGTTACAATTATAATAATAGACAATACGCTATGAAAATCATCATCTTCGTCTTAATGATAAAGATTGAGAAGAATTATATGTTACGAATGATAGATCTCAGCATTAACAGTGAATATCAACAGATAGCGTGAAATATTTATTGACATGTTTTCTGTTGGGAAATGACAGCAACTCGATCATGTTACATCTTTTGACCTTAGCAGAATTTTAGTAACAGTTTTCTATACTTGTGAATATTTTGTTCATATATTTTGACACGTGTTTAATGCTTTATTGGTATGTGAACAATCTATCCTACTTGGTCAAAAGATTAAAACATGTTATCTTGAAGAGGATCCCCCCCCCCCCCCCCCCTCAGAAAATTGAGTTTTCCGGGAAGATATCGAAGTTGAGTTTTGATTACAGAACGATGCAACACAGCTTCCTCTATTAGTATATATATATAATTTTTTAAAGAATGAGCAGATTTTCAAAAACGTATCATATGAAACTTGAAAATCTACTACCATGCTTTCATTGAAAATCTCATGATTTTTCAAGGTTGTCAGTTTCAGAAACATTGCGTTCCCACTAGCATTATCTTTTAATAGAACATTTTATACTAAGTAGCATGTCAGATGGCTTTACCTGCTGTTATCTATGACCATCTCTAAGACGGTTTAATGGAACATACTATTGTAACATGATTTGTTCTGAATTTAAATGAAAAAAATCCATTTCTGAAATTTCTTCAGCATTTCTCTCAAAACACGGCTTCTAAATAGAAAAATGGAAATAACTCTCACTCGACTCGGTATATAATCGATGTTTTTTTGTATTAAAGGTGTCGATAAGAGTTAACTTTTCATCGAACGGATTTTTCATATTGAATCTCAGAGATGAGACAAGTGGAATTTATTGTCTTAGAATCACACTATTTTAAGCTTATTTTACAAGCATGTCCACAAAATCGCTCACAAAAAAGGTTTCGAAATTCCGCCGGATGAAAAGTGGCGTATAGAGGCTAGCTACAATTTGAAATCAGTCCAAGCTCATTTTCCCTTCTATTGACGTAGTTATTTTGATATTCCTGGAAGATATGAAAACAACCTGAAATTCTTAGTATAACTATTTCTCGGTAAGACTAATCATATTCCTGAAAATTTCACCTCAAAACGTAGTTTTCAAGTGGAATTTTATTTCTGGAGAAGGTTCTTAAATCTTTGACAAATTTCGATATTCTGTTGTAATCTTGTGAACGTCTATACATTGAATAGTTGGAAAATAAATTCACTAAATTTGGAAGACTTGTATCAGATCGTTGGTTTTGGTTATATGAAGCAGTTTTCTTTTTGTCACATCAGTTGTTACACAGAAAAACAACCAACAATTCATAGCATTTTTAGGGAATTTGTTATTATATTATTGAAAGTTTTTATTAAAGAAAATAAATTTTCAGCCTATTTTCGAGCAGTCATCCTATTCCGCAATGTTACACATTCCTGCATTCCACAAGGTCATCAAATTCATCATTATTCGATTCCGGAATAGCTGACATCCAATTCCCACATACGCCATCGAATTTTCCGGAATTCCTGCCAATTTCTGCACAGGATCATGTATTCACTTTCAACTGAATAGTGCAATAAAAATAAACATGCAACACCGTTTTACAATTCCGGAATTCCATGGATATGGAATGCCCAGAAATTCCTGCATATTCCTGCATAGTTACATGTATTCATGTTCTACTTAACATTGCGACAGATATAAAGATGCAATTCTGCTTTAGAATTCCGTATTTCCATCGATATTGAATGACCAGGAATTCCTGCACATTCATGCATAGGTAGATGTGTTCATGTTCTACTTAACATTACGAAACAAATACAGATGCAATTCCGCTTTACAATTCCGTGATTGCAACGATATTCAGTGACCAGCAATTCCTACACATTGCTGCATTTCCTGCACATTCCTGCACATTGCCGCATATTCCTGCATATTCCTGCATTTCCTCCACATTCCTGCTTATTCCTGCACATGCCAGCATCTCCTGCACATTTCTACACATTCCTGAATAGGTGCATGTGTTCAAGTTCTACTTAACATTCCGTAACAAATAAAGATGCAATTCCACTTTCGAATTCTGGAAGTTAATTGATATTGAATAACCAGGAATTCCCGCACATTCCTGCACATTCTTGCATAGACACATGTGCTCGTGTTCTACTCAACATTGCAAAAGGAATAAAGATGGAATTCCGCTTCCGAAGTCCCTAATTTCATTCATATTGAATAACCAGGAATTCCTGCATATTCCTGCATTTCCTGAGCATTTCTGCACATTTTTGCACTTCCTGCGCATGTCGGCACATTCCTGCGTACGTACATGTGTTCATGTTCTAGTTAACATTACGAAACAAATAAAGATGCAATTCCGCTCTAAAATGCCGTAATTGCATCGATATCCAGTGACCAGGAATTTCTGCACATTCCTGCATTTCCTGCACATTTCTGCACATTCCTGCATAGGTACATGTGTTCATGTTATACTTAACGTTCCGATAAAAATAAAGATGCAATTCCGTTTTGGAATTCGCGAATTGCATCCATATCGAATGATCCGGAATTCCTACATATCCTATGATTAGGGATGTGCACAAATTCCGGAATTCCGCTTTGCATTTCTTTTAGCGGGAGAAGTGATCGTTTAGCCACCCATGACATATTTGTAATTCCGGAATAGACAGAAATCACCCGGAATTCCTGCATGTCCTAGTGATCCCGCATAGGCAGAGATTCCAGAATTCCGGGTGTATATGGAATAGATCTTTTAAGATGATCATCTCGTTGTTCAGCTTATCCTTAGAATTCCGGAATCGCCCGGAATGACCAGGAATGGTATGTTGATATTTGGGATATGAAGGGACGTAACAATCAGGAATTCCTGGTTGTTGCATGTTTTTGAGGGAAAGGGTCGTTTTTGCTTTTTTCGGAATTGATGGTAAGCGATTGCTTGTCAGAAGGCAATGCAGCAATGTGTAACTTTTGGGAATAGGAAGTATTCTCGTATTCCACTAGATTTTCATAACATGACGTTATAAAATCTAAATTAGATCCTATTCAATGGAATATAATATCGGAATACTTTTAGGCATTGAATAATTTAAGTCTAACTTTTTCCCGTCCTGACGGTTTTTCGACATAAAGTTATTATTACCAAGCTGTTCGTCTCAACGCTTCTATAGATGGATCTTATTCTATTACGTCTAGCAGTAGCTTGGATACATACGGATATGTTTACGATAGTAATTTTAATGCTTCTGATCCATTGGTACACATGAAAGGATTCGATGATGATATTGGTGGTGATAGGCAATTTCTTTTCACCATTTCTATGAGCACTGTAACAAGTTTCATTTTGGTTATAACTACATATTCAACTGATATGCAAGGAACATTTTCAATCATTGCAAAGGGTCCGTGATCAGTTAATTTCACTTCTGTATGAAAAATAGTGCTACGATGTCTTAAATTGTAAATTCATAGCAATCAACGTTTTCAAAAGTCAAATTCAAATGTACAGGCTTGTCTCAAAACTTTCTTACTCTGCTTTACTATTTTGCCTTATATAGACAGCTTTTAGTGAGCGTTATGAAATATCATGTTTGATCTACTGTCTATACTCAATATACATTGAATGAAACAAAATGTTTTTCTTGTCTAACATTCGCATTATGAC